GAATTCCCCAGCCAGCCATGCTGGCTGGGGAATTCTGGGAGTTGGTGTCCACTCATCTTAAAGTGGCCAAGTTTGGACAACACTGGCTTCGCAGATTGCGCAGTACTGCAGATCACCGGTGTCATGAAGGAACGGCCCAAAAATATTTTCAGAATAAAAAACGCGATGTGTTAGCATTATATTTAAATATAATCCAAGATTTTTAAGTAATGCCTTAAACACACACTGCCCTGCAGCTGGTAGAGTGGCTTTGAAACAGTTAACCACTACTGTTCCATTACTGAATGGCATCTGGAAACAGTCATTGCCCAGTTAACAGGAGGCTGCAGAAATCATTTATTTCACTAGAAACTTCACAGAAGGTGCCTCCTACCAGATCAGAGTGTCGACGCTGGCAGGTTGAGTGGAAACGTGGCCAGATTTCCTTTCTGAGAAGAGATGAGCGGGAAGATGAGGAAAATCAGGAAAAAGAGGGAGCGAGTAGTACAGAAGTTGCTGTGTTAACTGTTTTGTGTCTAGCGTAGAAATGAAGGGAGCACGGAGTCCATTCTTCTGGGATCCTCCAGATGTTGACTCCTAGGTTGCTACTAGACAGACTGTTTGAGAGAAATTATCCATGTCCTTTGTTTAATTTTTAAAACAAAACACTAATTCCACCCTTTTTCTTCCAGCTTCAAAAGAATGCTCCACAAGGCGTAAGTTTTACTATTAATTGTGCTGGTATTTATGCTCATCACTGTAGAAAAATTAACACAAAGGATGCATTTTTACCACGTGTTTAAACTAATAACCACATTAAACCATTTCATAAGTTCAAATATTGCCATGCACTATCAACAAACAAAATGGTAGTTTTGCAAAAACATGCTAAATTAATTCCGTTCTGCCCAGAAAACCATCAAAGTTAAAGCTAACCAATCTTGGTATGCTGAACAAGTCCAGCAGTTAAGTCTTTAACACAGCTGGCTGAAACGTTGTGATCACAGCCAATACTATTGGTTAAAGTTAAAGATAACCAACCTTGGTATGTTGAACGAGTGCAGCAATTAAATTTTAACTCACCTTTCTAAAACTCTGTCATCACAGCCAATATCATTGGCTTCATAAGTGCTGAACCCTTTCCATCTATAAGCTATTAATAAGCAGGGAGTCCATTCTTCTGGGATCCTCTAGATGTTGACTCCTAGGTTGCTACTAGACAGACTGCTTCAGAGGATTTATCCATCTGCTTTGTTAAACTTTGAAACAAACAATAATTCCACACATTCTGTTCCAGGTTGTTCCAGAACTTGTTGACAGGGTAAGTTTTACTATTAATTTTCCAAGAGTACCCTTCAAAAGGGAGGGTCATTGCTTTGAATGACTGAGGTGGGATTGTTGCTCATCGCTGGAGCAACATTAACATAAAGGAGGCATTTCTACCATGGGTTTAAACTAATAACCACTCTAATCCATTTCATCGCTTCAAACAGTGCACTGCACCATCAACTACCAAAGGCTGGTCTTGCAAAACATGCTACATTACTCCCGTTCTGCCCAGAAAACCACCAAAGTTAAAGCTAGCCTATCTTGGCATGCTGAACAAGTCCAGCAACTAAGTCTTTAACGCAGCTGGCTAAAACGGTGTGATCAGAGCCGATACCTGTTGGCTTCACAAGTTCTGAGCCCTTTCCGCCTCTAAGCTATTCTTTGACAACCTTTTGGCAGTCTGGCAGGAAGCTTAATATTTCTGAGAGGACTTCCTGAAAGGCAAAATTCTTTTCAATTCCATGCAAAGGTTTCCAGTTTCCCCAGCAGACGCTCATTATTACTGTTGACTGTTGATATGAAGAGTTGCTTTTAAGTGAAAGTTGTGAAAGAGATGAGCAGGAAGATGAGGAAAATCAGGAAAAAGAGGGAGCGAGTAGTACAGAACTCCTTGCGCTAACTGTTCCGTATCTAGTGTGAGGCGTAAGTGTTTATATTAATTTTGCAAGGGGGATCGGCAACATAGAGGAGCTATCTTCTGGGGTTATCCAGATATTGATCCTTATATTGTTCACAGCACACAGCTTTTTTCCAGAGGTGTTATCTGTGCTCATTTGTGAGCGTGGGAGTGAAAGAGGTCTTTTTTTTTTACAACTCCATATGTTTCTGTCCATCTAGTCATATATTTATATTGCTGCTGCTATCTTCCTTTCGAGCATCTATTCAGTCCCCCAAATTAATTCTTTGCAAAGATCGGGAAGCAACAACAGGCTGCTGACATTGGGGCCCCATCTTTTATTTGGAGGAAGTATTCTGCTGTAGTACAGTGGGCACTTCCTATATTATATACCTCCAGTAGATGTTCTTTCTTTCATATTGACTCTTTTTAGGAGAAGAGACGAGAATTAGGAAAAAGAGGGATGGGAGTAGTATGGAATTGGTTGAGCTACCCGCTTGTGTCTCGTGTAGAAATGAGGATAGCACGGAGTCCATTCTTCTGGGAGATTCCAGATGTTGACTCCCACATTGCTAGTAGACAGAGTGCTTCAGAGAAGTTATCGAAATGTTTTGTAAAACTTTGAAAGGAAACAATAATTCCACACTTTTTATTGCAGCTTCTAAGTCGTGGTCAGCGTCGCATAAGTTTTACTATTAGTTTCTCGGGGGTCCTCTCCAAAATAGAGGGGCATTTCCCTGAATGACTGAGGTGGGATATTTGCTGATAACTGGAGCATCATTAACACAAAGGATGGATCTATACCATGGGTTTAAATTAATAACCACATTAACCCATTTCGTAGGTTCAAA